ACGCGAGAGGGAAGGGGGAAGGGAGAGGGTTAACCAGGCCGCTTCTGGAGGCCATACTCTGGTAAACCCCGAGACAACAGCATGCCCGCCGCGTAAGCCACCTGACAAGGAGGTGACGCCGCGAGGGCGCCGAGGCCACTGGGAACACAGGAGCAGATGATCCAGCGCGCTTCCTTGTAATCCGCTGTACCCAAATACTCCTGGTACGGGATCAAGGTCCCCGGCATCCCTAAAGGCCTTCCAAGCTGGGTGGGGCTGGCGTCGTTTCCAAGGAACCGACGGCTCGCGGCTTCTGTAGGTCTCTGGGCCTTTCTCTCCCTATCCCCTTCTGTCTCTAGCTGCCTCCTACCCTCTCCCCTGTTCGCGTGGGTTCTCTCTCTCAATGAGGTTTCGAAGTGTGTTTATCATGGTACTAAGAATAAGCGGTGTGGTGGTCCGTCATTTGACCAGTCTGATACCTCGGAGAGATTCTACCTTGGTCGCCTGGGTGTGTTTGGTTTTCCTTTCTTTTCAATTACAGAAGACTCTTACAATCACCACAGCAGGTGGGCGACCCTTCCAGCCCCGGACGCCATCTTCATTCCTAAAATCACGCGAGAGGTTGGAGCCGGCTTTGGCCCCACGAGTGTGGGCGGAGCCGGCTTTGGCCCCAGGCGAGTGGGCGGGGCCGGCTTTAGCCCCACAGGGCCCCAGTCCTAGACCCCGGCTGCCCAGGGCACACTGGTGCTGGGGTCCCTCGAGCGCCCGCTCCAGCCAGGTGGGACGGGTGGGGAAAGGGGAGCTGTTCTGGCCGGTTTGGGGTGCCCTGTGCTTGCGTGCAGACTCTTCCCAGAAGCCCCCCTCAAAAAAAACGAATAGCAAATTTAATGATCAGATAATGGGTCTTTAAGGATCAAGATAAAGGTTCAATGGAAAGGGCCCCAACTCCGGCCCAGGAGGTTGATTCTCGAAGTAAATGCATCTGTTTTGCATTATAAACTAAGTGAGAGTTGTAGTGAAGCCTGCTGTCTCCTAAGTTCCTCAGAGCAGCCGGCGCACGAGGGGACCCCCCACCCTCTGCAGAGGACGGCCATGGACTCCCAGTGTCCGTCGACTCAAGCTGTGCAGGAACAGGCCAGGCAGACGCGGAAACCAGGCCTGCGGCGACCACGCTGTCGGATCGCAGCGCCCTCCGGGTTATTAATGGGCCTGGCGGAGCCGCCGTGTCTGCGCCCTGGCCCTGCGGACCTGCCTCTGAGAGGCGGCCTCGGCGCCCGCCGGAGAGACAGGCCTCCTTGGCCCAGAGTCCCTGGGGAGCCGCGGCGCCCCTGCGCAACAGAGCCCTGTGGCAGGGGGCTCATATCGCGAGAGTCTCGACCGGCGGAGACGGCAAGAGCTGGAAACCAGCAGACGAGCCAACGCTGGGCAGTAGGTTGCCCTTGGGGCCTTTGGGCAGCTGCGCCCAACTTCGGTCACAGCCAGTCCTGATGGATCGTCCTGGGTGTGCCCTATCCGTGCTGGAAAAACTGAAATGCCCAAAGAACTTGTGACAGAGTGAGTCATTGAGGAACCTTCGAAGAATACCTAATCGCAACCCAGGATGGTGAGCGAGTCCCCGTTTTGTCATTTGCTTCACAACAAGTTGAAGGTTGATTCTGTGAGCATCCTATCTCAGTGGAGAAGGGCTCCAGTCTACTGTGCGGTCAGTTATTCCTGCACTTCTCCCAAAAGAGCCCCAGGAATGAGGGGATCTTTGACTACAGCTTCTTGAAGGTGTCTCAAGTGAAAAGCAACAGCCTGCTTCTGCAGGTGGTGAAGTCCACGCCTCTGGACCTCCTTCACACAAAGGCCGCCTCTTTCAGCAATACAAACGAATGTCCAAACTGTGCCAAGTTTTTGACCCTAACACCTAGATGGAAGGAAGTATTCTCACCCTTATCCATATGTCAATCCCTCCAGAACACATACACTTCACACACCCTCTCGAGCTTCTGACTGTGAAAACAAAAACTTGAAGACAAAGGGGAGATGGAAAGGAAGACAATAAAAAGTCACAATTACCAAGAGCCTACTCTGTGCTAGTCACCTATCTTGAACCTAACAACCACTGTGTTATCTAAATATCATGTTTCCCATTTTGCAGATGAGGCAATTGAGGCTTCATGAGCAATGTAATTTGATCAAGGACCAGAAATAAAAAAGTGGCCAAGAAAGACAATCAGGTCTGCCTGACTCCAAAGCCTCCAAAGCTAGAGATCTAGGAAGATTAATGAAAGCTGGGAGAATTTTATAGCCAAACTGAAAACTCCATCAGTAGAATTGAAATATTTCACTGAAGTCACCATTTTGGGGCCGCAAAAATTGCTGTAGCATGATTGAATTACAGAGATTTCTCCATCTCTTTCCCACACTCTTGGGTTTCAGGAGGTTAAAGTAAAAGGATGATTTGGAAAGTAAATAGATAATGTCCATAATTTTGAATTTTAGTGCCTGACTTCAGAAATGGCCTTTCAGCACCTCAGCAAAAATAGCTTAAAACAAATGACAATAAGCAAAGGCAAAATGCCCATAAAAATAAAAATAAATCACCCCAGGGAGTTGATTAACGGACTTTCCCTTTCTGGTTGGCTCAAGGAAACAAAGGGTGAGAAGAGCGTTTGGTATTCACTCCCTAACAGTCCATACCAGAGATTCTGTCAACTTAACAAGATCTCCACAACTTGTAACAACATACCAACTACATCAGCAATAAAATAAGGAGCAAAGGTGCCAACTCCAGCCACCACCCAAAAAGACAACAAGCACACTCTTGATATTTGTTATGCATGACAGAGTATGGCTAGTCTGTTTTCTAAGTCCTTTGAAGCACTTCTACAACTTATTAAATTTCATTTGTCTCCATGTTGAAACACTTAATAGTGGCATTCTGCAGACTGAAAAGCTGAGGCTCTCCCAATATAGTAAAAGAATACCTGCAGGGTAGGCAAGGCCAGTCCACTTGCATTAGTCCATCCAACACAAGTCTTCTTAACTTATAAACAACTTCATGCTATTTCAAAATATTCTACCTGAAAAGCTGACCAATGACATAAAAATACATATTATATCCTAATGTTATTGTTAATGTTAATACACAAAACTTCTGCCACTGAAAATACTTGGCTTCTGACTTACGTCTCAGAGTCCCAAAGTAGCTTGAGGATGGTTCAAAACAAGTAACTGATTACTGGGGGTTGACCAATGTGGCACAAGGGGACAAACATTCAAGCCGAGTGTTTTCTAGACAGCGAGCCACAAACACCTGCATGAAAAAGCCTGAGGGAGAAGTGGGCTAAATGCCCAAACTACAAATTAAGTGTTCCTACTTTCTCTTAAAATCAGGGTAAATTCTTACACAAGTTCATAATTACTATTCATAAAGAGTCATCTATACTTGTGAGAGAGATCATCTTCTCTAAGCAAGATATTTTATGGTAGAAATACCATTTTAGCATTAAGGAATATGAGAGATTAGGGTCTCTTTTCTATCTTGAATAGATCTGTTAACGCTCCTGTTTATGGGTCCCGGAATGAGGGGAGGGAGGTATCATTAAGTTATAGATTTGTTCACCTACTGACTTTCGGAAGGCCAGGCCAAGTGGAGTGAAGAGCTGATTTGCACTCTTCACTTCTTACCCGTCTGTATTGTTTGAATGTTTTTATAAGGGCACGTGCTACTTGTGTAATTGAAAACGGATCTACTTTAAGGTAAAAGGGGCAAGGCAGGCCAGAGGTCTCTGGTATCTCATTTCTCGTTCTAGGAAAGGTGAAATATAAAACGTTGAAGGGTTCTTTTGGTGCCTGGAGACAAGGACAGGCTGGCGTGGGCGCAGGAGTCCGGACCCGCGGGAAGCGCCTGTCATGCTGGGCCTTCGCTCCCCAAAGTCTTGTCGCCACCTTCGCCTGCCCTTACGCGTCCCTCAGAAAGAGAACCGAGGAACAGCTGAAAAGCCTGGCTCCCCGCCTGGGCGGCGGTGACCGCTGGGCTATAAATCCTCTGTGACTGCCACCGAGGTCGCGGCCCTCTGTCCCGCAGGCCGAACCCGGAGGGGCCGGCGCCCATCGATCCCTGCCCGGTGACGGCGACGCGGCCCCTGGATTGCCGCCTGCTGGCAGCGCCGCGTGCGCGGGGGCATGGGCATCGGGCTTCGGGGTCGCCGAGGGGACTGGCCGACGCGCCGAGGGCAGGCGGAGAGCGGTGGCCGGGACCTCCCGCACCAGGGCCCTCCCCCACTCCAGCCCGCGCTCTTCCCTTGGCCCTCCACGCGCCTTAGCCATTGGCTGGAAGCGGTGGCCGTGGACCGTGCGGGGGGTGGGCACAGCACTTAATCTTTAAGGGCCTCGTTCCCTTCCTGCCAGCGAAGACCTCTCTTAGGAGACCAGACGTGATCGCTGCCACCTGCACTCTGGAGCCCCCACCAGCCTCCCGGCCCTCTTCTTCCACCAGAAAGGGGTCTTCCAGGCTCCCGGGAGCGGATCTAGAGGCAGATCAAGAGGCGTGGCAGGTTAGCCAAGCTGCCAAGAAGGGGAGCCAACTGTGGTCTCGCCCTCCGAGAGGCGGCCCAGCTTCCGCAGAACCTTCTGAAGGACTCTCTCCTGGAAAGTTTAGAGCTCCCCACGAATATCAGACACTCTGGGCTTTCTCGTCTCGGCTCGGCCGCTGGCTTGGCCCTGGGACCAAGAGGGAGAGAGAAAAGGAGGAGGAAAAGATAGAGGGAGGAAATGTGGATTTTATTTGTCTCCCTATGACTGTGTTAATAAATTAAACGGGAGCGCCAGTGTGTGAGGGTGAGAGAATATTGCGCAGAGATAAACCTCGCCGGCCTCTGCCCCTGCGAGGCCGCCATATACAATACGGAGATGATGAATAGGACGCGCGAAAGGAGATCGAAGAGGGTCTGGGCTGGCTCCACTCGCTCCTACAAAACTATAGGGCAATTAATTGTGGCTTGTCTCCTCATCCTTCATCTCCTGGTGGCACATATCGATGGAGATTACTGCTGATGGACCATTTTATCACCTTAAATAAACAGTCGCCACCTCTTCTAACCTCAATCTAATATATGGCTCTATGTTCGGTTTCAGGGCGCTAGATAACGACTGATGTAAAATAGCTAAATCATGTGTGTTCCGGGCTGGGGCCGGGCCTGCACACAAAAAGAGAGAAAAGAGAAAAAGAAAAATAGAACAACACAAAAACCCACACACTGACGCCAAGCCTCCCTCCCACAGGGGACGAAATCTGAAATCTAACTTGCTGGCTGGCCACTTACAGCGGGGACGCTGGGCGGGCGTAGCGTATCGAGTGTGCCTCGGTGACAGGAAGATCCCACTGGTGGGTTAGCGGGCTCGGGAGCTTCCCAAACAGGACCTGCGTTTTCAAACTGGGTGGGACGGGATTAGGGAAGGTCAGATAATACTCACTCTCCTTATATCTCGTCCCCTGACCCCTCAACCAATCAAACCCCAGAATTCTTTTCTCCCCAGTACCTTTCCCCAAACCTTTGGAAAGGGGGGGCAGTATCAACAGGGGAACTTCGGGCCCAGCTCCTACACCTATGCACACGCCAGCGCTGTTCCCAGTGCAGTTCCCTGCGCGGCAGGGCTCCCAGAAATCTGGAGGAGATAGAGACACCTCGCTGGGGAAGCTCCCGAGTGCCCTGACTCGATTCTCGGCAGAGAGACCCCGGAGGGCTTAGTCCCTTCCTCTCTCCCAGGTACGAGGGAAGAACAGTTTTACAAGAAGATATGAAAAGGTAATTTGGCTCGGCCGTCTCCATACAAACACAAGCACCCGGCGCGCCCTTTTGTCGCTGCTCACTACCTTCCAAGAGTAGTGACAGGGTCTCAAGCAACGCATCGGGTCCCGGACCGCGAGAAAAGACCACTGCAACGGAGCCTGACAGAATCGATGGCTTCAGGCAATCCAGCAGCAATTGAAAGCAGTAATACCAGACGAGGAAGAAAGGTCCCCATCCCCCATTTATATTACACAAGCCCCACCGGACTTTAAAAGAGATGAAAAGAGAGCCAACTAAGCATTCAGAGCTTCAAGTGGAAAGTGTACTTCAATTACAGAATAAATTCATATATGGAGTTTGGTACATACTGGAAGAGCTCACCCGGGCTAGCCTGTATAGTTTCTGCTGTTTTTAAAAATCTTTTTGTGTGAAAGAAAGCTACAAGACCCTTCACTATGCCTTCACTATAGCATTTGCCATAGATGCCAATAAAGTTTCAAGGTGAAATTAGTGGTACTGATTCACAAGTGTTACTAGGTTGCTGATCCCAGTCAAAAAAAAAAGTTACTTTTCTGAAGGGAAAAGAGAAGTACAAAGTCCTTTTTCCTTGCCTTATAAGAAAAAGAGCAAATGACTCAATACCCTTTCAAATACAAAGTCATAAAAATAAAGCAACACTGAGTGGTCACATCACAGAATTCTTTTAGAGGGAGAAGGCAACCGACTAAAAGGAAAACTAGGAAGATCTGCACATGATAAACTAATAGGTGCTTTCCTTCTGCCTGCCTCTCACCGCATCCCCCACCCACATACAACCTGGGAATGGGGAGAAGCTGTTTTTCACCATCTTTCAAGTGACATATCAACTTCCCCTGCCAAGGGAAAAAGTTTCCCACCCTTTGCACTTCTGATTTGTTTTGATCCCCAAGTTGGATTCAACTCAACCACTTCTCACTTCATCTTTGTAAAACGTATCTCATGGTTCAAATGAGTGCCTGCTCTTGTCCGGAGAAGCTCCTGGAAGAATGGCAGACCTGGGCTCCCAGCATTACACACAGAGCCAGCTCAGCTTTCTCTTTTCTTTCTCAATTGCCCTTTGATTAGAGAGCAACGTGAAGTGTAACTCTAATAGGGCAATCTGACTTCCTTTCCCTCTGTCTTTGCCCCTGCACTTTGCACACTGAAGCAGCCCAGTCGACTCTAAAAGATACCAGAAGATTAACACAATAGGAATAATTTAAATAAATCATAATTCATTTCCTCCAGCCAGGAAAAAGAGGTACCCAGGCAAAAAACTGGTTCAATAGCCACATGTTAATTAGGAATCTGGCCCAATTCTTTCTCTGATTAGGCTGAGTTTTCTCTGATGAAAACATATTCAATCTCAAGACTGCATTGTAAACAGTATAGGGAGCTCAGCGCACAGCCAGGGCTTTGGGGTGCACTGCCCGTATGTTTCCCAGCACTGATTTAATTCAGAAGAGAAACTGCAAGCTTCTCTCAGCCCACAGGACTATATTTTGCTTTTCGGTAAGAAATACCGTTTACAAAGCATTTCTTATCTTTTTATTTCACATTTTAAAGAACTGTTTTGATAACATAATTAAGAAATTCAGTAGGAGCTAAGTATTTTTTGACATCCACTAAGACAATAAAGTTTTATAAAATTTTCTGTAACTCTAAAATACAACAATCTTCTTAACTGCAGAGCAAATTTGAGCCAAAACCCTCATTTTAAACCAATGCTTTATCCAGAGACTCTAGAAAGGAAAAAAGTAAATACAACTGCTCTTTTTATTAGTAATAACTATCTCCATCAGAACAATGATCTCCAACCATTATGAAAAGATTAATACACCTCAATCACTAGGCTTGTGCCCAGTGTTTTCAATCAAAATGATAACTTTGGGAGTCCTTTAAATAACTACAACCTGCAGTTATTTTGCTTTCACAACGAATTAAGAAGTTCACGGATTGGTAGGCATTCTGCAATAAGGGACTTGTTCAAAATCGAATGATCATACACATTTATGATCAACTTTCCTCATACAGAAGCTAGATGAAGGACTAAGATGAAGAGAAGAGCAGAGTGAGTGCTGATTTTTCAAATCCTGTATTGCTTTCAGTCTGAGTCTCAACTCACTTTAACGTTCTCTCCAGGAGTCTCTGGAAGCGTATTTAGCACTTACCCCAACACACTAAGTGTAAACATAGCATAACGTCTGAAATTACCATAAAGAATTGGATATAAAAAATAACACATTCTTGATCTTCATTTAGAGTTTTGTTTCAAAACCTCAAAATGGAACTACACTTGTGATGAGAGTTTGAAATTGTGAAAATAGAAACGGAAGCTAGAAGAGAACTGATGTTTAATTAGGCATTTGCCATTTACGTGGGGACAAGGAAGGTGAGCTCCTCATACTAAATTACTGTAACCCTCACTTTAAAAAATACGTAAGCCAACAAGCGTGGCTACGGACTGTAAGCGTTTGCAGGGTCAAGGGTGCACGGAGAATGCGGGATCCGCAGGGAACGACCCTGCCCTGAATTCGGAAATGTTTTCTCACTAAGCAACTGGGATTTTTCTTTTTCTTTTCTAAATAAATAGTAAACCTGAGAATAATGCCTGTCTGCAGGGAGAGACTGACCGTTGTTATCCAAAACTCCGACTTCAACGAAGCCTGGCTAGCCAGCTGCTCTCGGCCGGTCCCCCGACAACCCAGCGGCCCGAAAATGAGCTGACGCAGTTAACCCCAAAGGTAAGATAGCGAGAAGGAGAAACCAGCCCTGGAATCCACGCTCTCCAGAACCGCTGAGAGTGCTTGCTTTGTCCCCGCCTAAGCCGGGCCGGTCCCCGGCACTCCCATCGCGCGCTGCTAGTACCCGCCCTGCCGAGGCGCGATATCCAGCGGGAGAGAATGATCTGCACGCCCCGGTCGGAGAGCAACTAGAGTCTTAAGAGACTTGAGCCTGGGAAGCAGGGGATGAAAGAAAGGGGAAGAGGTAACGCAGAGGTGCCACCCGGCCATCCTAACCGTTCTCTTTCCCTTCCTAACCGAGAAAACTTTGGCTACAGTCGTCTGGGAGGTGCAGGCCTTCGGCCAGGACAGCCCACCACCCGCTGTCTCCCTCAGCCAACCCGCCTCCCCGACGGGCTCCCGCGCTCGACGGAGCCAGCGCCCCGGGAGAGAGCGCGCGGGCTGCTACTACGTACGGTTGTTGGGGTCGCTGGTGTGCTGGTTGAGCGGGATGATCTCCATGCGCTGCTGGCCGTACAGGTAATAGTCCAGCTCCTCCGCGCTGCAGCGGAAGCGCGGGGCGCCCCGACCATCCCCGCCGCCGCCGCCGCCGCCGCCGCATTTGGAAG